CTCAATCTCAACCGTCCATTTAATTTAATGAATATGTGATTTCATAAAAGTTTTAATTGTTTTCGAATATAAAGTATTGATCATAATTAATGAACTATATTCATCTTTCATAAATATTCAAATCATAATAAATGAACTTTCATCATTTCCATAAATATCTCAATTGATTGGGTTGCATTAGTTGTACAAATAAACATTAAAGGGCCTTTGGCCTAGCGGTATGTGAGTCATTGGCCTTCTAGGAGGTCAAGGGTTCAAACCTCACCATAGGTGAGGAGGGTGTGTGAGTTTATTTGTTCTATTTGTCGTAATAAATATTATATACTTCAAAAAAAACATGGTTGCCTTTGAAATATACCCTCTATATATATATATATATATATATATATAAAGAGAGAGAGAGAGAGAGAGGTGAGTTATTATGATACACTTGATGCAAAAAACAGTGTTAGGAGTCATTGTGATAAATATGCGATTGACTACAATAATTTTGTATCACTCAGTTTATGCAGTCACTAGTTTTGTATCACATATTGATCATAGTGCCTCCTCAATTTGATTTTGTTTTACTGGGTTGCATCAATGTCTATACTGAGGAGACATTGTTTTGTATCACACGTTTATCACATTGACTACTAATATTGTTTGCGCATCAGTGGATGTACTAACTAGACTTCGTTTTGTATCACACACTCCACTAACACTCTTATTTGGTGTAATATTGTAATCGATTATGCTATACGAAAATTAAGGGATAAATATAAACAATTAAGATAATATAAAAATTGACAGTTGCCGAATGGTTTGGTATAGAATGATTAAAAGACTCTCATGATATAATGCAAAATGAAATATAATTGTTTACGATGAAATTAGAGTTCCGAATGGTTAAGGGAGGCCTATGATACAAGTAGAGGGTTTTAAAACCATTAAGAGGTGAATTTTTTTTTTTTGTCAAACATGATTCACCTCTTAACGATTCAAAAGCTACCCTTAATGAATCGTTAAAATATGCCCTTAATGAAACTATCAAGAGTTAAACAACCAACCATAGTTAATATAATTAGGGCACTAAATGATTAAGGGAGACCTATGATACAAAATCATTAAAAAAGTTTTAGAACCATTAAAAGATAAACTTTCTTTTGTCAAACGATTCAGTCGTTAAGAGGTAAACAACCAACGAGAGTCAATAATCTATCAGCCACAAGAACTAACATCCATCTATCATATCGTAAAGACTCCTCGCATATATAATGATTTGCAAACATGTACGGAATACGGATTTGATAAAAAATATCACAATCGAAGATTGCAGAAACGAACGAAAGAAGTGATTAACGGAAATCAACAATAGTTATAGGAACCGAGACAAGATCGAAAACGACGAGAGAATGAATACACACCTGTAGGGCGATAGCCTCCATAGGTGAAGATCGAGACAAAGGGATTACGGCTTCCGATAGTTATAAATTTATGTTTTATAACTTTTTCAAATATTGTTTTCTAATTTTATTTTTCTATATTTATATCTTATACTAAATTTATGCTAGCTAATTATTTCTAAATTAATTCAAATAACTATGAATTGTTTTTAATTTTTATAATTGTATCGTTAACATTTTAATCGATAAATAATTTATATATGTATTTTTTTAATTAAATATTTAAAGCTACAAAGATAAAATAATTTAATATAAAAAAATCATCAAAATAAATTAATTGATTAAATGGTCCTTTATTGATCATTTGTCTGAAAACTATCTATAGTTGATTTAGATCCAATAAGCCTAATCTATCTCAACCTTGATCCTAGTTATGTATTAATTGTTGAGCCGAGTAATAAGTTAGACTTTAAAATTTATGTTTAACAAGTTAGCTGATAAACTAGGTGTTAATTAAGTGATGAGATGACGGTTGGCTAAAATTAGTTGTTAGCTAGTAAGTTAGTTGTTAACTGATAAACTAATTATGTTTGATAAAAACTAGCTAATAAACTAGTTGATAATTGTAAAATAACAAAAAAAAAACATGTTAGAAAATGTACTCAATTCTAACATTACAAATTAATAAGTGAAATACAATTGTTATTAAAACAGTTTACAAACATGATTTTCAAAATTATTATATATGATGTTTGACCCACTAAATCTATTGAATAATAATAAGTATGATATAAAAACAATTAGTATGATTAATAATTTACAACCACTATTGTAATTAATAATAATCAGTAATTATCACTGATATAATCATTAAAAAATGGTAAAAATCTCATTAAGTTTATTGATGAAATAATGTTTTTAATAAGCAGTAAATTGCTATCCAAACCAAATGTTTAATAAACTCAACAAATAAATTAGCCTGTACCTGTAGTATGAAAACATCCTAATAGTAATAGCCCCTACATAATTTCTTCAAAATATAAAAGTAATACCAAAAAGGAAGGGTAATAATACATCTACTTGGTAAGTATACGTACCAAGGGCACCCCTAAATCTATATAATCATTTTTTTTTTTGTCTTCTTTGTTGTTTTTTTATTTAAATTATTAATTAATTCTTTTTTTAGTTTTTATTTATTTATTTATATTATACTTTAATATGAATTATTAGTAAATATATATTTCTTTTATATCATTTATATTTTATTATAATATCAAAAGTATTTAAGTAGTTTAAGTTTGTTTTGAAAACTTCTCCTCATAACTCCTAAAACATCAAACAAAAAAATCTTATTTTAAAATTACATAAATAAGAGTCCAACATGCTTCCATACCTATCTTCCTCTTTGACCGAAGTATCATCGGGTCATGCCATGATACTTTTAACAGATGTTTCAGCCCCAACCCGCTGAAACAGATAACTTCTTTGGAGCTCTTTCAGCAATACTCAGCCCAACCTAGTTTTGTTTCCTACGTTAGGTATATAGAAAATAGATATGGATTTTGTTGGGAGATTTACTTATGTTATGGGAGAATAATCAAACTGCATATGGTTTAGAAGATAATAAAGAAAGTAAAGAGGTTTTGTATTTCCTCATTGAAAGGTGTATACCGAGGTTTAAGCAGTAAAGGACATAATGGTTAAGGGTAGGACTGATGATCCTTCCTGTTCCCTTTTCCTATCTATTTATACATCTTTTTCTCTTGTCTCATCTATTTTTCCTAATCCACTTTGTAACTTGCAATCTAGCATCGTAACTTGTAGAGAAGTCATCCTTAATCGTAACTTGTCTCATCTATTTTTCCTAATCCACTTTGTCACATGTGCTAGGGCCGACCCATACGCCTCCTAAATCCAATATCCATCACACCAAAATAGCTCTCAAAAGAGCACAAAAGAGGAGACGTCGTGGACTGATCACACTGCCACGGTTAGTGTCA